CAACAAACAGTTATACATATATAGGAATCACAATAAAATCAAATGGGAGTTTTGTTGATGCCATGTCAAATTTAGCAGGTAAAGCTGGAAAATCAATTTACATTATGAACAAAGTACTTTTAGGAAATCTAGACATAAAACTAAAAATGAAACTATTTAACATTTACATAAAACCAATTTTGCTTTATGGCTCAGAATTATGGGCCCTAGACTTGCAAGACATTCAGGACAATGCTAAATGGGACAAAACATCAATTGAAAAAATCAATATTAAATTCTGCAAACAAATCTTACAAGTAAATAAAAATCCTATAACTTAGCATCAAGAGCAGAGGTGGGTCATTATCCACTACTGCTCAGTGCAAAAGTTCAAGCTATTAATTACTGGTTGCATATAAAGGATCTCCCAGATGATAATCTTACAAAACAGGCATACCTAGAACAAACACAACACAATACTATACAATACAAATGGCTGAATGCAATATTGAAAGACAATTCACTAAATTTCATAAAAGAAAAAAACACTTCCTATCAAACACAAAAATCAAATTAATCAAATTTTAAAAACTTCCCTTGCAAATAAATATACCAGTTTCTGGAAAGAAATGATTTCCAAAGAAAATAGCAAACTGAGAACATATGCTAAATTTAAAACAGAATACATCTTTGAGCCATATTTGAATGAACTTGACACTCATAAAAAGAAAATGTTGACAAAATTTAGAATTAGTAACCATAACTTGGCAATAGAGGAAGGCAGATATTCATTTCCTAAGAAACCTATAAATAAAAGAATATGCAATAACTGTGACACAAATTCAATTGAAGATGAAGAATATTTTCAATTGAATTGCTCAAAATATAACACACACAGGGAAAATTTCATCCAAAAGATTATGACACTACTTTCATCCCACAATGAAAATATACAGTTCACATATATAACTCTCAAGCAAAGATCCTGGCAAAATTATAGAACTTGTCAATTATATTTACACAACACAAAGATTTATTTAACATTTAAATACTAGTTAGTCCTTTTGTATTATTTTTTTGTACAATTATTACATATATCTGTTATTATTTTAAAACTCCTTTTTGCTGTACTTATCTTATGTAAATCTTTTTACACGGAGGCAATACAGTTATTATTATTATTATTATTATTATTATTATTATTATTATTATTATTATTATTATTATTATTATTATTATTATTATTATTATTATGCCACTGGTCGGGTTCATCATTTTTTCGCGCATATTATATAATTCGATAATTGTAGTTTGACTTGGTACAGTGCTGTGTGTATTATATTCACTCATATACCAGGGAGGGTTGGATCTCAGTCGTGTTTTTGTCGCAATAAAATACTTAAAGTTTTAGACAAGGCGGTCGGTTATCTCTCTCCTTCAAGTTTATTCCGGCTCATGTAACAAACGCACATTTTTGGAAACACAGTTACGCTACTCGTATGCATTGTATGCTATTGAAGTGTGCCATGTTAGAAGTCACAATTGCCGATATACCGGTATACGGCTGGCTCAAATGCGCTGGTTGCTACGGCGTGTCAGCTTGTAT